TCATCGCAGCCAAATTGAAAATGAGAAGAAAACAATAAGAGAAAAGCAACTGCAGCAGGCTTTCCCTCTCAAAACACTGATGAAATCATTCCTTGGCTTTCTCCAGGCCCAGCCAGCAGATACCAAGAAATACTTCCTGCAGTGGATGAAGATCTTTATCGACGAGCTGTCCTGTGGTAGCCTTGAAGAACTGAGGAGAGACTATCACGAGTTATGGTCTGAAATCCTCTCAAGAAAAAAAAGGGAGAAAAAACCCAGTTGCAATGATGCATTGGTGAATCGCTTGGATGCCCTCTCTGACGAAATCAATGATTCTACCATTGGCCTGGAGCACCTTCTGAGAGAGGTAGGGCAGATTTATGAAGCTCTGGAATTAATAAGCTGTAAGAAAGACAATTTTGTCAAACTGCCGGAAATTGCAGCAGAGCTGATGGATTTAGGATATTCTGTGGAGCTGATGGATGGGGACGCTTCTTACCTGCCCTTGCGCTGGGTGGGAGCAATCTTTGACAGCTTAATTGAGAGGCTGGGGGACAAACGAGTGTTTGTGCTCTCCGTGCTCGGCATCCAGAGCACAGGCAAGTCCACCCTGCTGAATGCCATGTTTGGTCTGCAGTTCAACGTCAGCGCAGGGAGATGCACACGCGGAGCCTTCATGCAGCTCATCCCAGTGGGCAAGGAGCTGCAGCAAGACTTGGGCTTTGATTTTGTGCTGGTGGTTGACACAGAGGGGCTTCGTGCCATCGAGATGGCCAACAAACAGTCCCTGAACCATGACAACGAGCTGGCCACCTTTGTCATTGGTGTTGGCAACGTGACTGTGATCAATATCTTTGGAGAAAATCCCTCCGAAATGCAAGATGTTCTCCAGATCGCTGTGCAGGCTTTCCTGAGGATGAAGAAAGTCAATCTTTCCCCAAGCTGCCTCTTTGTCCACCAAAACGTGGGAGAAGCAACTGCCAAGGAGCAGAACATGGAAGGACAAAGGCGTTTGCAGGAAAAGCTGGATGAAATGACCGTGGTAGCTGCTCAGCAGGAATTCTGTGACGTCTCCTCCTTCAGCGATGTCATTGCCTTTGATGTGAACACCCACATTCACTACTTTGCTCACCTGTGGGAAGGAAACCCCCCAATGGCACCACCCAACCCCACCTACAGCCAGAACGTCCAGCAACTCAAGAGCAAAATCCTCCAGGCTGCCAAGAATCAGTCGCAGCACAGCATTTTGAGGCTCTCGAGCCTGAAAGATCGTATTGGTGACCTCTGGAATGCTTTGGTGAATGAAAACTTTGTTTTCAGCTTCAAGAATTCCCTGGAGATTGCTGTGTACAGGAAACTGGAAAGTGCCTTTAGTCATTGGACCTGGAGACTGAGGAATCACATCTTAGATGTACAGATGAGACTGGACAACAAAATTCGGAATGGGGACTTGCAGAAAGTCAGCAGAGAACACCTTGAAGGGCTGGTGCGAGAGACAAGTGATGCCATTGAGAAAGAAGTGGAAAAGTATTTCAGGGAAGACAAAGACTGTGAGACACTGATCCAGTGGAAATCAAGCACAGAGCTGAAGCTGAAAGAACTAAAAGAGACGCTTCTTCATGAAACAAAAAAGAAATGTGAGAATCTTATTGGGCTACAGAAGGAGCAGAGGAAACTGGATGCAAGGAAGTTGCAATATGAAGATGAGCTCCTGAGAAAGAGTCGGGATCTGGCTGTGCATCTGAAAGGGAAGAGCCTCAGTGAGGGAGAACTGACGGACAGCTTTACTCTTGTCTGGAACAAGTGGATTGCTGAAGTCTTGCGTGAGGTTCGCTCTCCAGAACGGGTGGATATTGATGCAGAAATCGAGGATGTCCTTGTGGAGCACTTTAAGGAGCCAGGTATCCATGCACGGATCACGTCATTTCCCAGAGGCAGAGGGTTTTCTTTTGATCCAGAGAAACACATCATGAAGAAAAAGAGTGGACTTTTCCAAGGTGTCATGCGCTTATTCAGTACTGATGATATCAACTTTCAGCACATCACGGACAACATCATAGAGTGTGTGATGGCAAACATTGCTAAGAAGGAACAGGAGAAACAGGATTACAGTAGTAATTTTATTCATGAAATACTCAATGAAGTACAGAAAGGTGTTAACTCTGTCCCCAGCAATGCAAAATGTACTTTTAACAGAGAGTACAGCATCGATTTGTCTCTGTATCTGTGCACAATGGCAGCAGAAAGGTTTAAAGCCATGCACGAAGCATTCCAGAAGGCAAATGACCCAGTCGTGTACCTGAGCAGCAAGAGAGAATATTTCTTCCAATGTTTCCAGATTTCCTGCCAAGGAGCCACTTCTGTCACAACTTTTGTTGTTTTCCTTTGTGACAAGATTGAACCAGCTCTTCGCCAGGCGGTCTATGAGAGGACGGCTAAGGACATCGCTGAGGACATGCAGGGCAAACTCCCAGATTTCCAGGGCAACAGAGCCAATCTGGAAGTTTGCATCCTGAAATACCTGGCAGAACAGGAAAATTTTGAGTATTTCAAGCAGTACCTTACGTCTCCAAAACAGTTTTGTGAGAGTTATATTGAGACACGGGTTAGGAACTACTGTTTAAATGGGACTAGGCGGCTGGGGATGTTTTTAGATTCCTCTCTTAATCTTCTCTATCGAAACATCCTGTCAGCTGTTTCTTCATCAACCCAAATTGTCAAAGACAGAAAAGACAGGGAAGACAAAGTCTCTCTCTGGCTGGATGAATTTTGCAGGGAACTGTCAGAGGTGATCAACTTGCCCAGAAGTGACCTGAAGGGCATCGAGCACCAGGAGGTCACAGACATTGAGTTTCTGAGCAGTGCCATGGCAGAAGCTCTGGCTGCCCTGCGGGAAAGGCTCATGAAAGAATTGGCTGATGCTGACCTGAGCTTGTTTCCAAGGCAGCCTCACACCATCCTGGCGACGCATTTTTCAGGGTGCTGGGAGCAGTGTCCCTTTTCCCAGCCAGCAGATACCAAGAAATACTTCCTGCAGTGGATGAAGATCTTTATCGACGAGCTGTCCTGTGGTAGCCTTGAAGAACTGAGGAGAGACTATCACGAGTTATGGTCTGAAATCCTCTCAAGAAAAAAAAGGGAGAAAAAACCCAGTTGCAATGATGCATTGGTGAATCGCTTGGATGCCCTCTCTGACGAAATCAATGATTCTACCATTGGCCTGGAGCACCTTCTGAGAGAGGTAGGGCAGATTTATGAAGCTCTGCAATTCAGGAAGACAAAGAATGAGAGTTTTGTCAAATTGCCGGAAATTGCAGCAGAGCTGATGGATTTAGGATATCCTGTGGAGCTGATGGATGGGGACGCTTCTTACCTGCCCTTGCGCTGGGTGGGAGCAATCTTTGACAGCTTAATTGAGAGGCTGGGGGACAAACGAGTGTTTGTGCTCTCCGTGCTCGGCATCCAGAGCACAGGCAAGTCCACCCTGCTGAATGCCATGTTTGGTCTGCAGTTCAACGTCAGCGCAGGGAGATGCACCCGCGGAGCCTTCATGCAGCTCATCCCAGTGGGCAAGGAGCTGCAGCAAGACTTGGGCTTTGATTTTGTGCTGGTGGTTGACACAGAGGGGCTTCGTGCCATCGAGATGGCCAACAAACAGTCCCTGAACCATGACAACGAGCTGGCCACCTTTGTCATTGGTGTTGGCAACGTGACTGTGATCAATATCTTTGGAGAAAATCCCTCCGAAATGCAAGATGTTCTCCAGATCGCTGTGCAGGCTTTCCTGAGGATGAAAAAAGTCAATCTTTCCCCAAGCTGTGTTTTTGTCCACCAAAACGTGGGTGAAGCAACTGCCAAGGAGCAGAACATGGAAGGACAAAGGCGTTTTCAGGAAAAGCTGGATGAAATGACCGTGGTAGCTGCTCAGCAGGAATTCTGTGATGTCTCCTCCTTCAGCGATGTCATTGGCTTTGATGTGAACACCCACATTCACTACTTTGCTCACCTGTGGGAAGGAAACCCCCCAATGGCACCACCCAACCCCACCTACAGCCAGAACGTCCAGCAACTCAAGAGCAAAATCTTCCAGGCTGCCAAGAAGCAGTCGCAGCGCAGCATTTTGAGGCTCTCGAGCCTGAAAGATCGTATTGGTGACCTCTGGAATGCTTTGCTGAATGAAAACTTTGTTTTCAGCTTCAAGAATTCCCTGGAGATTGCTGTGTACAGGAAACTGGAAAGTGCCTTTAGTCAGTGGACATGGAGGCTGAGGAGTCACATCTTAGATGTACAGATGAGACTGGACAACAAAATTCGGAATGGGGACAGGCAGAATGTCACCAGAGAACACCTTGAAGGGCTGGTGCGAGAGACAAGTGATGCCATTGAGAAAGAAGTGGAAAAGTATTTCAGGGAAGACAAAGACCATGAGATACTGATCCAGTGGAAATCAAGCACAGAGCTGAAGCTGAAAGAACTAAAAGAGACGCTTCTTCATGAAACAAAAAAGAAATGTGAGAATCTTATTGAGCTACAGAAGGAGCAGAGGAAACTGGATGCAAGGAAGTTGCAATATGAAGATGAGCTCCTGAGAAAGAGTCGGGAGCTGGCTGTGAGTCTGAAAGGGAAGAGCCTCAGTGAGGGAGAACTGAAGGACAACTTTACTGTTCTCTGGAATCAGTGGATTGCTGAAGTCTCCAGTGCTGCTCGTCCTCCAGAACGGGTGGATATTGATGCAGAAATCGAAGATGTCCTTGTGGAGCACTTTAAGGAGCCGGGTATCCATGCACGGATCACATCATTTCCCAAAGACAGAGGGTTTTATTTGGATCCAGAGAAACACATCGTGAAGAAAAGTTGTTTTATCATTTTCCCAGGTTTCTGGAGCCTTTCGAATGCTGATGTGATCAACTTTCAGCACATCACAAACAACATCATAGAGTGTGTTATGGCAAACATTGATAAAAAGGAAGAGGAGAAACGGGATTACAGTAGTAATTTTATTCATGAAATACTCAATGAAGTACAGAAAGGTGTCAACTCTGTCCCCAGCAATGCGAGATGTTCTTTTAACAGAGAATACAGCATCGATTTGTCTCTGTACCTGTGCAAAATAGCAGCAGGAAGGTTTAAAGCCATGCATGAAGCATTCCAGAAGGCAAATGACCCAGTCGTGTACCTGAGCAGCAAGAGAGAAGATTTCTTCCTATGTTTCCAGATTTCCTGCCAAGGAGCCACTTCTGGCACAACTTTTGCTACTTTCCTTTGTGACAAGATTGAACCAGCTCTTCTTCAGGCAGTCTTTAAGAGGACGGCTAAGGACATCGCTGAGGACATGCAGGGCCAATTCCGAGATTTCCAGGGCAGCAGAGCCAATCTGGAAATTTGCATCCTGAGATACCTGGCAGAACAGGAAAATTTTGAGTATTTCAAGCAGTACCTTAGGTCTCCAAAACAGTTTTGTCAGAGTTATATTGAGACACGAGTTAGGAATTACTGTTTAGATGGGTGTAGGAGGCTGAGGATGTTTTTAGATTGCTCCCTTAATAATATCTATCGAAACATCCTGTCAGCTGCTTCTTTATCGACCCAAATTGTCAAAGACAGAAAAGACAGGGAAGACAAAGTCTCTCTCTGGCTGGATGAATTTTGCAGGCAACTGACAGAGGTGATCAACTTGCCCAGAAGTGACCTGAAGGGCATCGAGCACCAGGAGGTCACAGACATTGAGTTTCTGAGCAGTGCCATTTCAAAAGCTCTGGCTGCCCTGCAGGAAAGGCTCATGAAAGAATTGGCTGATGCTGACCTGAGCTGGTTTTCAAGGCAGCCTCACACCATCCTGGCAGAGCATTTTTCAGGGTGCTGGGCACAGTGTCCCTTTTGTGGGGCTGTCTGCACAAACACCATGTGGAATCACGATGGAATCGACCCAAATTGTCAAAGACAGAAAAGACAGAGAAGACAAAATCTCTCTTTGGCTGGATGAATTTTGCAGGCAACTGACAGAGGTGATCAACTTGCCCAGAAGTGACCTGAAGGGCATCGAGCACCAGGAGGTCACAGACATTGAGTTTCTGAGCAGTGCCATTTCAAAAGCTCTGGCTGCCCTGCAGGAAAGGCTCATGAAAGAATTGGCTGATGCTGACCTGAGCTGGTTTTCAAGGCAGCCTCACACCATCCTGGCAGAGCATTTTTCAGGGTGCTGGGCACAGTGTCCCTTTTGTGGGGCTGTCTGCACAAACACCATGTGGAATCACGATGGAGACCATCAGCTGGTCTTCCATCGCCCACAAGCTTTGACGGGATGGAGGTGGCATGGGACCGACCACCTGGTCATTGATATTTGTTCCAGCCGTGTTGCAAGTGACTGCAAATTCAAAGTTGGTGACAATGATCTCCTGCCCTTGGCCTCGCTGCTGAGCAAAAGCCTTTGGAATGCCCCATGTGGAGAATGCTGGATTTTCCACACAAAGACTCCTCTCGCTCATTGGTGTGGCAGTGGTTACAACATCCGGGCTCAGACATCTGGTGGGCTGAGGGAACTGTCCGTGTGGCCCGAAGCGGGGACGCCCTCGGGAAGATGACACCCCGACAGCACCTACCCGTGGGTTCCCACACACACCAACCACATAAGACTGTCACTACACCCCAAGAGCTGATGGCTCAGCTCATTATAAAAGCCAGATCATGCCTCAAAACCTTAGCAGGGTGTGAGTTCGCACATATTTACCTTCCACTGACATCAGGAGATCTGGAACCTTTGCTCCAGACCAGTGAACACCTCCAGTTCGCTCTTGACAGCTACCCAGGTCAAATCTCTGTCCACCTACAGAAACATGAGCTATTTAACGAGGGTTTTAATTTAGGTGCAACATCATTAAAGAGTCTAACTACTTTAAAGGCACTGACTGTTTTTATTGATGGCTCCATAAAATCCCACAAGCCAGTTATGACTTGGAATAATCCTGATACTCAGGAGTGGGAGTCTGATGTTCAAATTGTTTAGGTATCCCCACAAATTGCAGAATTAGCAGCCGTTCTCAGAGCCTTTGAGAAGTTCAAACAACCCTTGAATCTGGTTACTGATTTGGCCTATGTTGCTGGAATAGCTGAAAGAGCAGAACAGTCCTTATTAAAGGAAGTGCCAAATCCAGATTTATACAGCTTGCTTTCAAAGTCAACATACCTCCTCTCCTTCCAAGAGCAACCATATCACATTGTGCATGTGAGGTCACACACTGACCTCCCAGGACCAGTTACAGAAGGCAACCACAGAGCAGATACTTTTGCCATGGCAGTATAAACCACCCTACGACACCTTTTTTTTCAGGCTAAATTGAGCCATCATTTTTTTTTCACCAAAACGTACCAGCCCATGTCCATATATTTAAAACCACAAGGGAACAGGCAAGAGCAATTGTGGGCTCCTGGCCCAATTTCCAGGATTTTGCTTTGCCCTCCAAGACTGTTGGGGTTAACCCCCAAGGTCTTGAAAGTTTAAAATTGTGGCAAACAGATATTACACACTATACACCCTCTGGGAGACAGAAATATATTCATGTGTCCATAGATACGTTCTCTGGGGCTATATTCACATCAGCCCACACAGGAAAAAAGACAAAAGATGTCATCCAACATTGCCTCCTAGCATTTTCTACCCTAGGCATTCTCCAAGCCATCAAAGCAGGGAATGGTCCTGCTTACACCTCCAAAAATTTCTAACAGTTCCTAAATCAATGGTGGCATGAAACACACCAGTGGCATACCCCACTCCCCAAAGGGGCAATCTATTGTAGAGAGAGGCTCACCATACTCTCGAGAGAGTGCTTGATCACCAGCACGGGGAAGCTGAAACTCTACCGAATGTAGAAAGATTATGTAAAGCTCTTTATGTCATCAATTTTCTTAATAATTGATTCATGGAGCCAAACTCCCCCATCATCAGGCACTTCTCAAACGCTAGCAGAGCTCAGCTCTTGGAGAAACACCATGTGCTGAGCAAAGATCCCGAATCCAAGCAAATAATGGGCCCACTTCCATTAATTACTTAGAGTAGATGTCATGATCTGTCCTTGCGAACGGGAGTCGTGATGGTTCGTTTCACTGACCTCAGGGTGCAAACACTGACACGACAAGGGGGGTTTTGCAGTAATAATCAAAACAAATGTACCTTTATTGAATGACCACAGCAAAACGCATTAGGGAGAGGAGAAGTGAAGAAAAGGGAAAGAATAAGGAAAAATTGGGGGGTGGGGAAAGAAAGGAGGGGTATAGCTACCAGATGTGTAACGACGTAGTCCTTCAAAGTCCAGTTGACAAAGCCTGTCGTATTCACGTCAGGGGAGATCTCAGAGATACTGGTCAGTTGTAATCTCTATTATAGTCTTTTTTAGCCTTTCAGTTGGGGGAAGGGGATATGTTTTGAAATCAAATCAAATGTAATAAAGAATAATCTATTGGAAAAGGGTACAAAAAGTCCATCAGCAGTAGGCGAGAGCCATTGTCTTCTTGGTCCAGTGGTAAGCTTGCAGGCAAACATCTTGCTTTGGTCATTTGGCCTCCTCACACACACCTTCCCACCCTGTGATAAGGATTTCAGTCTCAGTCCTTGGGGAGGAAGAGGGAGCTTTTCGTCTCATGTCTCAGTCCTTGGGGGAGAGACTTCTCCCATCTCAGTCCATCTGTCACAGTGGTTGATGTATGGTAAATTGATTGTGGGCTCCTGCCCCAATTTTCGGGCAGCAACCATTGAAAAGGTCATTCCAGAGAGAAAGTCCAGCCAAGCTGGGAGGTGGGGAAATTCCAGAACCAGTGTTACAAAGTGGTGCAGGCAAAGGAGAGCACAGTGACGCCTTCCTTTTTCATTGTGTGCGGAGTTCTATGATGTTGGTAAACGCATCTGTGAACACTGGCATGGCTTGGTGGGCCAGTCGGATCCAGATTTCAGAACAGGATCTTCCTTTTCCCCGGTGGTCCTGATTTCTGTCCCTTTCACGACGATTCCTGAGGCTGAAGATGAGGGAAATTCTGGACAGATACAGTAGAGGCTATGCTTGCGTGTCTACAGGATCTGGTCCAAGGTGGATTCCAGGTAAGAATATCAAGCCGTACATCAATCCGTCAAATGCAGCATCCAGAGACACTCCCCCTGAACCTCAGAGACAGCAAAAAGATCAAGCTCGGGTGGCGAGGAGGAGAAGGAAAAGGAGTGTAAATGCAGATGTTCATCACAGAAGAAGATGACTCTCCTCTGCTCCAGAATATTGTAAGACTCTCTGTTGAATTTTATTTGCTCGTTGTTTTGGATTGTTACCTTTTCAGACAAGGGAGGTTGACAGGATGGATTTCATCTCTTGTTAAAGGAATTTTTTTGGTTGCAATCGTTGTTTTTATTGTTTTACCTATATTTCCCTGTTTAGTTAAGTGTCTGCAAAAGTTCATTGGGGAAGTCTTCATAGTAAGAAAAAACAGGGAAATCCCCAGAGCCTTGCCCTGGAATGATTTACCATAGAGTCTCCACCTAGGCTGGAATTAAAAACTTCCGCCATGGTGCCTAGCCAACACTATGATTCACACCTGTTACTTTCCCCATATGTTCCTAATTCTCATGGTTTCCCCTTTCCCTGTTTCCTTATTGTGGCATCCCTGGTGGCCAGCCCCGTCTTCCCTGCAGGCTAATGCCCTTTGTCCCACAATTTATGCTGGCCCAGTGCCCTCAAATCTTTGGCTGCTGACCCCCACTTAACCTTGTGCACACCACACAGCCAGGCCTTTTGTCACTGATTCCCCTTTGGAGTGCAAGAATAAACTTCTATGGTTTAATAAACTGAAATTTGTCATACAAAAGACCCTTCTTGCCTCTCTGTGCTGAGATAGCCATGGTGAGCGTGGTGTGTTTACAATATTATTATTACCAGCAATCGGCCAGGTAGTTAAGGGTCAGAGGTCTGCATCAGATGAGAGTTGACTGTGAGCCAACTGAATTACAGCTGGTGAGGAATTTGGACCGTAATTCAATCATCTGACTGCAAAAGAGTGATTCCACTTTCACACTCTGCTGCAATAAAATACCTGATTTCTTGGAATCACCCCGCTGCTTCTGAACAGGTGAAGCCGCACCCCGAGGAGAGTCAGGGCTGCATAAAGAGGGGCTGGGATGAGCTTCTCCCAGCCAGGGAGCTGCAGGGTGCAGAGGAGAAGGTAGGGGATGGGGATGGGGATGGGCATGGGCATGGGGATGGGATGGGCATGGGCATGGGCATGGGGATGGGCATGGAGATGGGGATGGGGATGGGATGGGATGGGCATGAGCATGAGTACTGGGGTGGGGATGGGGATGGGGATGAGCTGCGGGGCTGGGAGCCGGCGGCAGCAGGGAGCGGGATCTCGTTGCTCTCCTGCCTCCTGTTCCCGGTGCTTTGCCAGGGCTGGGGCGATGGCGGGGCAGGAGAAGAGGGGGCTGAGGGCAGCGGGCGGGCGCTGTGTGCTCCGAGCGGGGGCTGCAGGAAGCCGCCGTTGCTGGCACCGCTCTGGGGGAGCTCGGGGGAGCCGTGTGCGCTGCGGGGGCTGAGCTGGGAGGGGGCCGGGCTCGGAGCGGTGGGAGCGGATGCCTGCTCTCCCCCGGAGGCAGGAGCGGTGGGACTGATGCTGGGGGGGTTCCCGGCCCCGTGCCGCTCCTTCGGGAGCAGGGCAGCTCTGTTGTGATGAGAGGCAGGCACAGGACATCCCACTTTGTCCCCAAGCCCAGGGGGTACCGCTTCCACCCCATGCAGGGAGGGTGGGATTCTCCTCTCTTACAGTCTGAGCGGCACCACCCAGAGCGCTCCGGTCCCTGGGACAGCCCCACAAAGGCAGCAGTGTTCCCTGAGCCCCTTCCCTTGGGCAGGGCTGGGGAAAACTCTCTCTTTGGGCTGTTCCCGTGAAATGGGGTGCAGGCATTCCCATGGCAGGTCCTGCTGCCAGCCTTGCTGCTTCCCTCCTTTGCTTCCAAGGAGGAGCTCGGTCCCGAGTTATGCCCTGAACGTGCTCAGTGCCTCTCTGCGGGCACTGACACAGCCACATGGGGCTTTTCCCTATTCCTGCAGCAATGGGAAGCCGTGCAGGGAGTGCCAAGGGTGCCCGGGGGCAGGTTCAGGGTGTGGCTGGGCTGGAGTTAATGTTAATGTCCAGGGCAGCCCCTGGCTCCTGAGACTGAACCAGCTCTCCACTGGGAGAGAATTTGGGAGTGCACAGGGCTGGGACAAGTGGCTCAAGTGGACAAGCTCCTGCAGTGACCCTGAGCCAGCAGTTCCCTTCCTGAGCAGCCGTCCTGCACTGAGGCTCTGCTGCCCAGGGAGCAGCTGGACATGAGCCCACCAAGGGCACTTGGTCTAAACCCCTGCTGTGCTCTGCCAGCACACCCAGCTTTCCTCTGCTGCTGAACTGCCCTTATCTCGAGCCGGTGTTTTTTCCTGCTTCTGCTTTCCCCAGTGGAGAAGGGTTGGCCTGCAGTGCTCCCTGGAATGAATCTGCCATACTCATGAGTTGCTTTCTCCTGTCTACTCTTCTTTAGGATTTTGGGCTTTTCCTTTTTTTGGTGCTCTTC